GATTTACAATACTTGGTCTTTTAATAACTTCTGTATGAATATTCCTCAAGGCTGGTTTCTTGCTGCTTGTCAAAACAGTGGCCCTTCTAATTTACAGCTCTCTCCAGATGTCCAAAATTGTATAATTTTCCAAGAGAAATGCTTGTAATCAGCTCCTTCTAGCCTCAGCCATCTTGCATTCACTTGATGTGTTTTTTGTGATACCTGGAATTGAGAAATTTAGGTTTTTTATTTCCTTCTTTTTTACAAAATAGATGCTATTATTACCCGAAACTTATTTGTTGGCATCCCTTACACAAGGGTTCGCTATGAAAGCCAGTATGTATATTGGGTAAGAAAATACATTTTATCAGAATAAATACCGTTCTTTTTTGTCCTTCTCAACAGACACATCATTTTTGCTCCCAGCAGCCACAACAAGTATGCTGGGGAGTCCTTCCCTGGGATCTATGATGCCATGTTTGATATCAAAAACAAAGCAGATCAGCATAAAGCCTGGGAAGAGGTGAAGAGACAGATCTCCATCGCAGCGTTTACTGTGCAGGCTGCAGCAGGAACTCTGAAACAAGTAGCATAAACTCATCAGCAACATAATCACCAGTGAATTTCTAGTGATTCGACAGCTGTAAAGCCATCAGAAATAGAGCATTTACCAACATGAGTAGAGTTATTACCAAAAAATATGTATTCAAACAGTTTTGTCCTTCACAAACAATACAGCCACATCAGTCCCTCTCACTCCCATCCAGTCCATTTAGCTATGTTAATAAGGGACTATCCTTCTGAACTACTATTACCAAAGTAGGATTTTTAGTGAAGTCAGGTACTAGATTAAAATCCTTTGATTTCAGATACCTACCTCTTGTTACAAAAAGAGAAAAAAGAGTTTTTTTGGAATTTTATTCCATGATCTGTGTCATAATGACATTTTCTCTTCTATGACTCCATAAACAGTTTCTCTTCCTCCACCAAGTTTGTACCCTTCAGATGTATCATTTTGCTATCTGAAAACACATTGCTATATTAAACTTAGTCTCTCTTCTAAAGCCAGTCCCTCCACTTTCTTAGGTGAACGGATAACAGGAATTGGTCTGGCCCTCACCAGACATCATCCAGATGGCTTTCACACTTTTTTAAACATGCTCTTTGTTTGAAGCTGTGTTTTATTTGAGAAAGTTCCTGCTCAGTTCTGTTAACTCTGAAAAGTGTTTTAAGCCATGCTATATTGCTAGCATGTTTTAAGCCATGCTAGCAATATAGAGTAAGATGTAGGGATAGATATCATAATGAACTGTGACCCCAAAATCTCTGCTCAGTTGCCCTAGAATGACTTTAACACACTGGTCACCTCCCTGTTTGATGTCAAAGTTTCCTGTGCAGCTATAGTTCTTGATCTGGGCATACCCAGAAGAGCCTTAATCTGAGCAGCTGGGTATGAATCTTCTTCACACTCTCTTTCGTATGGCATCAGATATCAACTTCCAAATGTATGAGCCATTGTCCAGTATTATCGCTCAATGTGTGGACTCCATCTGCCCCACTTGGGCATTCGTAAAAATAGCAGCTTTTGATTAAGTGCTGTGCTGTTTGTTGGACACCACATTCGCACAGGATGCTGCCCAAGATGTTCATCTTGTGAAGTCTTGTTTGAAAGCATCTGTATCTAGATCTCAGTCTGTTCAGCTTGACCCACGCTTCTCTGTCAAGGTCATGCCCAATGGGACCCTCGTGGTGTTGATATAAAATGCTGTAGGAATAGGTGTGACCTTTCCCCACAGTGGGCCCACTTTATTGCTGCCCATAGGTTTGGCTCATGGGGGACGATAGTGACTACCTCCTCCTGGTGTTTCACATGAGCAGCTATAAAGCAAAACTACAAGCCACTACCAAGGTAATTGGGCTTTGGGACAGCTTTACGTAGGATCCAGGAAGTAGGTGTTGCTTCAGCTGCGTCGCCTGAGAGGCCTGAGCTGGCAGACATGCTCACAGAACGATGAGAGGATGACAGGATCAAGTCAGCACAAAATACACATGATAATAGGATCAGGTCAACACAAAATACAGCTTTACACACCTCTGAAAAAAAATGGACATGTCAACTCCACATCTCTTCAATGCAATAGTCTGGTGATTGCAGCACTGGCCCAGAAAACAAGAGTGCTCCTACTCAGTCTGAGGGAGTCTTAACCTACAGGTTGATCTAGACAGGGGCACCTTTTATACCTGCTGTTGGAGTTGGAAGCACAAAATAAAGAGGAGATGATTCCCAAGTGGATGGAAGTAGCAGCCCTGACTCAGACCTAGGCTCTGAAGCCTGTGCTCAGGCTTTTGTACTTGTTCAGTCAAGATGGTTCTCCACTTAGCATGCAGATTTTTTGGATCACCTTTCTCCCCATGTACTGTATAGGGAGCCTAGGTACTTAGTTGTAAGCGCCCAAGTCTCTTCCTAGATCTAGATGCAAGCCAATAGGCAATGATGAGTAGATGGTCTTAAGCTTTCTGGATAGCAGATGTCTCCATACAGTAAGGATCCCTGAGTGAAAGTACCTACAACTGTTCTTTTAAAAAGCAGATCCAGGCTTATATCTATTCTTTTAAAACACAATGGGTGCATCTACACAAGATGCTACAATGCTGTAGTGATACACTATGGTGCCATAGCATCTGTTGGCACAAACCATGATGTCGCTGCTATGTCACTAGCAATGTGCTCCCTCTACAGCATGTTGCTACACTAACGTAGCGGCCAAAAATAACTGTGAGCAACCGGTATGGAGGAGAACAGGCTGTTACTGCACCATGTTTTAGTACTTCCAAAAGGAATTACTAAATAATGGTGCAGACACAAAGGCGCTATACAGCCATGTGTAGACATACCCCAGTAGGTGGTGGTGCTGTCACCCATTTTTTATTTAGTAGTTTAGCGGTCTGAACACCTAACCTGGGCCTGGTTTCTTCCTCTGCCCAAAGAACTTCAAACTCGCATCTCCAATGAGAGGGCTGAACAGGGTAGGGCCATACTTCCCTGTTGGACTTGGGTCACTGTGCAAAATTGCTAGATTTTTGGGGCCAGAAAGAGAACAAGAAAGAAGGCTCTGTAGCCTAGTGGTTAGGGAAGTCACTTTGGAAGGGGTGTCCTAGACTCTGGTCCCAGTTCCTAGAATTATTTCTTTTTCATTAAGCAAGTGTTTAATAAACGCTTCCAGTCCTGGTACATGGAAATTAAAGGCACCAATTCACTTTCTGCCCCATCCTTCATTTTCAAGCAGTCATAATTTATAAATGGAAAAAACAAGGATAATGTCTGACTTTTATAAAATAAATAAATCAGGCAAAGTAACAGTGGAATGCAAATAATTAGCAAACTCCCAGGCCATTGTCTGTTAATATTTATGTGTTCCTTCAGGTTAACAGAAACATTTACAGTCCCCTGATTATACAAGCTCCAAGCATCTGAACCAGCCAAACGGACAAAGTGGGAGGTCGGGGGTGGGGGGTGGGGGGATGCCCAGCTGGAGATCCTACTGATAAGGATTTCACCAGAGTTTTAGTAAGAGAGAGAGGTCCGGAAAACAGATTTATGTGACACCAGTGTGGATGTATTGGCAGTATCCAGCCCCAAGGATGAAAATCACTTCTAATATAACATCTGCACATTAGTTATCTCTCACTGAAGGAGAACAGCCTTAAAAAGGTCTGCTGGACTCCTGCTCTGAGGTGAACTTCTAAGACATTTCTGGGCTTCATTTACCAAGTTAGCAGTTTTTGTTGCCAAAGAGCTGCTGTTTATCAACCCAGATTAATTATTTAAAGAAAGAGTGGAGTTAAATCATTAATTAACAAGTGGGCAACTTCATAATTAATATAGTTGCAAAATTCAAAGGTTGGCAAAAAAGCTTTCACTTAACTTTACTGAGCAGTGAGCTAAGAATAACACAGGGTGTGTTTACTTGTGTGTATTTAATATGCATTAGCCTAATTTACGGCTCATTAAGGGCATGCATCTACATGTGCGTGCCCTTAATGCATCTTAAAAATGGCAATTTTAGACTATTCAAGCCTAAATTTGATACCTGCATAAAGCTGGTATCGAATTTATGTGCAAATAGCTAAGTCACATTAGTGAACGTGTAGACGTGCTATGCACATTAACTCAATGTGTGTCCATTGACTTGAGACTAACTTTACTCCCAGGTTGGTCTGCACACCTGCGTTAATGCACCTTAGCACGTGCACGTGTAGGTGCGCACCTAAATCACCTTAATATGCATTAGGCAAATACGCATTAAGTTTAGGCATGCGCAAAAGCAGATGTAGATATGCCCATAGAGTCAGAGGTGTGTTGGTTCCTAGCTTGTAAATTCACAAAAGCTGCATTTCAGATCATTCATTTCTCTACATCTGATTCTCAACTAGGGTGTCATGGCACGTTTACAGTCCCCTGGAGTGCCATGCTACGTTAGCAGGATATGCAAATATGATTCACAAGATAAACTCAGAGATTTCAAATAAGAAACCATTGTGTTCAAAACCTGCTAACCCATTGTGGTCTGAGTTCTTTGCAACAGGAAAACTGCTCTATTATTTTTTTCTGTTGTGAAAAAACAAGTCAAAACTAGAAGCTGACATTTTCAAGGGGTGTCTTGAGTCTAATAATGAGTGCATGAAGACTAAAAAAGTTGAGAACTACTGCTCTAAACATACTACAGATCACACCTGAAAGAAATGGCATCCTGGCAGACAGCTCCTAATAAATACACATTTGGCTTTAAAAAATGACTGTAGATAAACTCCCCAAGCTTGTTAATCAAGTCATTGATTTATATATACACACAGTCACCAGTAGATGATTTAATCATCCCTCAAGTTTTTAAAAGCACCTAATAAAAAGGAGAAAGAAGCCAACTGACATTTTTCAGTGTGTCCTTTGGGCTTTGAGTAATACAATTAGAAGCTGAAGGTGAATTAGAAAGACAGCTGTATTTACTGAAGAGATTAATTTGTATCATATGATCAAATGGGATCCTTTCCAAATGTTGTAGAGAGCATGGTTTTCATGACTGGCTCATATTATATGAGTATGCATCAAATTCATAGTAGCAGAGAAAACAAGTGGGGATGTGAGAACTACAATTCTGCTTTGGTGATAAACACCATCTCGGTTTCTGAGAGGCTGGCAAATTATTTGTAGGAGAGGGAGAATAATCAGGAGAAGAGGTAAAAAGAGAGGAAGGTAGGGAGAAGAATAAAAGAGTACCCTGTCTTCAGGAACTCCTATGAAGAAAAAAGCTGTAGCAGCCTGGTCCAGACCCTATTTCCCCTTCCTTCCTTTTTGAAAGTTGCTGTTCCCTTCCTAGTCTTGATAAAGAAACTCTGGCATTTGGGCAGCTTTGCTCCATCCTCCCTTCCAGAGTAACTATCAGGCAACATTGCTGGACTCCCTCATCAAGTTAAAATGTCTACTTGCCCCTGGGTAAATGGGTTTTCTCGAGGCTTATGCTGGTTCTGTTGCAGGACAAATGCAGACCAGAGGTGCTGTTCTAACAGAAGCTTCTTCTGTGGCATTCACAAGTAATTTCAAATATACATAAATAGGACTTTTAGCATGAGCCACCTGAAAACAGAAAGATACTTTTATGGCATGCCAGGTCTCACTCTGTTCCAGACACAGGTTTTTATCTTAATATATTACACAAAGAGTCTATACAGGACAACAGCAACAACTATAATATATATTTATTGCTATACATGGATTATAGGACAACAGCAGATCATGAACCCTCGCGAAGCCCCAGCTTGCAGAAGTCTCTATCACTCGAGCTATTGTCCTAGTTAAAAGCTCTAGCAAGTTCTTATCCTGTGTGCATC